AAATACATGAGTTTTAAGAAAATCAAAATAACCCTACATAGAATAATAATTGATATTGTTTTCTTTCCTCATATTTCATAAAAACATACCTGACATATCTGTAGCAGCTGGAGGAGAAGTTATGGTTTCTGCGTGCATGACGATGTTACTAGTAATGTCCAAAAATAACAAATTATCATTTAGATGAATGAAATGCAGAAGATATTACAAACTTGGGACACAACGTAGGTATCCGTATCCGTCAAAAAAATATGTACTAAGAACATGCAAAATGGTACTCACTATCCAAGACAGCAATTTTCTTAGGAGGTCCTTTGCAATTATCATCATTGATAACTTTCAAGAAGTGCTTAGTGGCACTGTGAGGAAATATGGATGGAACTGCATTTTGGAATAGATGTTTACGAGTTCCAGATTGAGAAATGACATCTTTGGCAAAATGTTTCTCACATACCCTATAGTTTCTATACAAGGCATGGATACCTAATAAATCCTCTGTTACATAACCGTAGCCAACAAGCAGCCCTAAAAACATTTACAAAATATCAATTTATTTGCATGGGACATTTCCAAATGATTATAAATACAATGTTCAAAAAACTGCGTTGAGATAATGCTGAGAAATGAAAATTATTAACATTTACCTACCTTGTAGAATTCTCTTGAATTCTGAACAACCTTGTATTTTCCCCCCAGTTTTTGTAGAACCACCACGAACAACACAAACTGTTCCTCCTTTGCAAAACATTCTCCTGTATAAAAGATGTTTAAACTATTCACAAATTTTATTATATTCCAATAGTTACTGAAATAAAAGTTGTAAACAATAACAAAAAAACGTTGAGTGGAGAGTGAAAATTAGGTTGAAGTTAAAACCACCTGTACATGCGTATAAAAACTAGGTTCTGGCGGGAGGCCTAGCTTTCGCATCTGTATTATTTAATCTGTGCTCGAAGGTTCCGTAGAGACAGCTGATGGGCTCAGTGTCATTCATCCTCTCGGTACGGATACACACACCTTAGGATTAAGCTATCGTTGGGATGACATTCACTTAGGGAATAACAGAAGCACAAGTGATTCTGTCATTCCCGTATCCAGCGGGGCTACGTGGAAGCAGGCATCCGATGGCCGGTTTGCTCAACCCCCACATCCCAAGCCAATGCACTCGCCGAAAACAGCATGTACAGTGGTTCATGCAGTGAAAGATGAATAAGGACAGCCAACCTGCCTTAAAAGATGGTTTGCAAATATTGAATTGGTCTCCTTATTGAAGAAAATCTGTCTAGCTCTTTCATTCAAATGTTCAAAATGTTCTTCCTGAACCGCGGCAATTCTGTCTCTAAGTTCCTGTATTGTAACATTCATTTTTAATTTTATATACAATCCAAAGGAAAAATCAAGAGGAGTCAAATCCGGTGAACGAGCCGGTCATTCCAATGAACCGCGCCTATCAGTTCACATGCCTGAGTATGTCTGATCCAACTAATCCCTCAAGTGACTAAAAAATACGGGGGCGCACCATCTTGTTGGAAAACAACTGGATTAACAACTCCATGGGTGAATAAGATTTGAAAGAATTCACAAATATAAATCACCAGTCAATTATTCCTCTATATAAATGAGACCAACAATATGATTTTCCTTCTGCCCAGGCATTTATTTTTCAGGAGTTTGAGTATGACCTTTTCAAAAATATGTGAGTTTATGTGTGACCAATATCGCATATTTTGTCAGTTGACATTTCCGTTCAAGAAAAAAGTGCATTCGTCAATAAAACAGATAATTTGATGAACGAAAAACNAAATCATTGTTTCAAAAGTTATTCAGGGTGGCTCGTTTTCAGCTAAAATAATTTGTAGCTCCCGATATGCTCTGGGGGTGCGATAGAGGAAGTAGCATCAAATGTGAATTTGTCAAACTGTGTCCCCCTGTATACTATTGTTGACGTGTTTTTTTTATTTTTCCTGGAAATCATTGTACCAAAAGTTATTCAGGGTGGCTCGTTTTAAATGGAGTGTACTATATATAACATTATAATTAACAGTTCAAAAATAAAATTTCAAAACGCTCAAAGGTGCAAACTTGTTTCCTCCTTTTCATAAAAGAGGGTGTATGCATCTCCACTTACAAGCGACTCAGGTGAAATTGGTGACACGAGTGAATCATTGAATTCGTGCAACGTGTGAATCATTGAATTCGTGCCACGTATCATTATAATAATGTCTAGCTGTATAATGTCCGCTGTAAGTAGACCCTCTGTGATTTGAAAGTGCATATAGATTATAACGACAAGGAGTCATGTCTGCTGCATAATTGTTCGTATATTATCCATCTAGAGGAAATTCGATGGCAACATTTAAGTTTCCTCTGAATAGTTCTGTTAGAATCTTTCAAAATGAATGAATGAAATACGGAAAACCTAAAGATTGAGAGAGGGTGCATTTTCTTCTTTCCTTTGCAACGCAAACACGTCGGTTCGAAGGTTATTGATGAGTGTCCACAGTGTGCGCACTTGATCGTGGATTTTAATTGACCAAATAAATTATCTACAAGTTTAGAGTTACCTCATTAATATACAGGCCGTATTTTTTAGATGATACCACTATTGCTATCTCGGAAATGGTAAATTCTACAAGGACGGTTAAATGAAACAGAAGTGGTCTATTTAGGGATGCAACACACTGATATTTTCAGATCTATTAAATTATTCAAATTGGAGGAGATGAAGAAAACTGAAGACGCCAACTTGAATAGTGAAACGTGCATCAAGAAGAGTATAGCAATTCTGGTTATTGGGAAACTTGCTCGTTTTGCAACAACGTTTAGTATGGGGAAAACTAATATTTTCACCCATATCGAATAATTCAGCAATAGAAACCATCATCATTATCGATGTTGCGTCTTCTTTTATGGGTGCTTAATGGCAAAGCACATTGAATTTTGATAGCTTTATTCAACTCAAGAAACAAATTATAACATGAAAAATAAGTATTATGAAATTGAGTAGTGCGTTGTCTTTACCGCTGTTAATAGTCTACTACCCGAGTCCCAAAGGTCGGGGTGCTAAGAACGACCCTCTCCTCTCGACACTCACAGGGCCTGTCTTAGGATGGCCGGAACTATCGAAATTAGAAAAATCATAGCTTGAAATTCGAAATCCTAAAAAACTGATTGGATCATTTATACAAAAAAGTATGGCAACACTGCCAAAGCAGCTGTTTGGATTGGTTGCACTTTCGTATTCTGTTTGCGGTTCTGAGTTTCTAAGTTTCTAGTAGTAGGGATGAGTAAATGAACGAAAAACGAGTAGGGAAGAGGTAGTAAATGAAAAGTGTAGTATTTGGTATTTGTAGTTGTTTTTTATTTATGAATATGTGAAGTAAAAAGTAAATACAAGGGAAAAGATTATCTGAAACAATTCCACGTACAACGCCTATTATAGGAGAACTGTGTTGAGAACTGTGTTTAAACAATAGAAAACGAAATGACTACTAATAAAAAAGAGTGCGAAACCAAAAAGTTTCGAAAATATAATATACAATTAGAACAAATACAACGAATACATTATCAAGATCCCAAAGTTAACGAACTGATCAAAAACAATGTAAATATGTTTTCTTATTCCTGTAACATAACCTTAACAACTTTTATTTATTTTCTTTATCTCTCATTTTTTTCAGCAACCTGTACTGATAACGAATTCTAGTCTCGTGAAATCGGCTTGTGAAAAATGGAATACCGATTTTTTTGAGAAATATTTAGGCAAAATCAATCACACTGTCTACTTGTCTAATGATCACAATTTCAAATATTTCGATGAGAAAAAAGTACTGTCTGAAACTAATCCAAAAGGGGTTGAATTTACACCAAAAACCAGAAGACTAGATATGGAGATGTCGGAATTCATAAAGAAGGTGAAAGAATGGAAAAGTGGAGATGAACGGTACATTTATTATTTATAATAAAATGATACAATTACTATTTTTTTTTTTCAAAAAAAAATTCTCATATTCATCAATATATANATTTGCAATCAAACATTCGAACATTATCTCACAAAACTGCATTCTTCTTTTAAGGTCATCTTAATTTACTTTATGTAATATTTTCAGTTTATAGAGGTGAACTTATGACGTCTGAGGTATCTCTTGACTGTGGTTGTTGAGACATTATTCTCAAGAGCAGCTGTTCCCGTGGACTGCAGGAGGTTATTCACTACAGTTGCAACGATTTCTTTGTTTCTCGTTTTTTGAAATAGATTTTCTTCCAGCTTCTCTAGCTCTAGCTACACTTCCAGTTGTTTTAAAATTTTCAGCTAATTCCCTAAAATATTTTCGGCAGATCGGATTATCAGGAAATCTCGCATTGAACTCACTTTCTGTCCTATGAAAATTGCGGCAGGCCTTGGTGAATATGAAGATTGGTTCTATTTTTTCTGCTAAAGATCTGACGCAAACCATTTTTGAAAATTCAAATGATAAGAGTTCTCAGTATCCACGTTAAGTAATGTTTCTTCAAATTTGATAATATAATGCAATTATAATTTGACTGATTTTTTTATCCTGTCCATCAAAAATGCCGTCTTGATGAACTCACAGAATTATCAACCCTAATTTTTTATTTGGTGTGTCGGGCATTTACCCAAATCTCGTCTACAAAGTAAATATTTCTATTTTCATTCCTGTAGGATTTAATTTTTTTCAAATACTCTCTTCTCTATTTCACTATTTCATTCAATGTTTTTAATAAAATTGAAAATTCAATGTTTTTAATAATCCATACAATGCAGTGCGTTTGAAACTTGGCAAGTCCGGAGCGTCATTTATGCCTTCAAGTGCCTACTTTGTCAAGAGTAAGGAATTCTTTTCTGAAGTAATATTGATGCACTATTAATTTTTTTACACTTTTGGTTGGTCTTTGGCTCCGAAAATAAATGATAAGTGGTATACGAGTATTATCTGATAATTTTGGAGACGCTGCGTCCACACACTCCTGTTTAATTTGCCACTTTGTTTACAATTTCATCTTCGAGTAATATTGGATTTTCTTGAGTCTCGTGCTTATACACGTTTAAAATCATTTTCTTGGTTTTTATGAGACTTTTTCGACATTTGCCTCGGAAGAGACAAACAAATTTCCATAGACTCGTGAGCTGTGTCCATGCTAAACATGTTTTTTTAAATACATACATACACACACAACACACACATATAGTACTTATCTATTTATCTTTTGATTTTCATGGAATTATTTTCCAGCAGCTTGACTGCTTTAACCTTTCTCGATTTCATATCTTTTGTAGAAACATGTGGACTCATTTTCCGATGGCATTTCAGGTTAGCTTCCCAAATTTCTGCTACCGCAGTTGTCTTGGCAAGTTGACTTGGGTGTCACACCAATAGGTGATTCCACTTATGTCTCGCTTGCGTTTACACAGTTATTTTTATTAAGCATTTTTCTTGGTTATTCACATTTTGTCTTCAATGTACCTGCCCGGTACTGGCAATGCCCAATAGGTTGAAACAGCTGTCTACTGGTGGCTCTTAAATTGAAATCAATATGGGAATGATCGGAATAGTACTTATCTATTTATCTTTTGATTTGCATGGAATTATTTTCCAGTAGCCTGACTGCATTAACCTTCGGCAACCACCGATTAAACTCTAGTTGAGTCCCGAAACGACTATAGAAATTCTAGAGCGATCGTTACCGATATATAAGGCCGGCTTCTCGTCCCAAGAGGGCAGTCGCGTTCAGAAAGTGAATCGAGCGGTTAAACAAGGAATTCAAATAGTGGAAATGAATTAGGCGTTATTTGCTAAGAACGAATATTTCCTGTATAATTGTTGACCTGTTTTTTATTTTTCCTGCAAATCATTGTTTCAAAAGTTATTCAGGGTGGCTCGTTTTCAGCTAAAATAATTTGTAGCTCCCGATATGCTCTGGGGGTGCGATAGAGGAAGTAGCATCAAATGTGAATTTGTCAAACTGTGTCCTCCTGTATACTATTGTTGACGTGTTTTTTTTATTTTTCCTGGAAATCATTGTACCAAAAGTTATTCAGGGTGGCTCGTTTTAAATGGAGTGTACTATATATAACATTATAATTAACAATTCAAAACGCTCAAAGGTGCAAACTTGTTTCCTCCTTTTCATAAAAGAGGGTGTATGCATCTCCACTTACAAGCGACTTTGGTGAAATTGGTGACACGTGTCAATCATTGAATTCGTGCCACGTGTCATTATGATAATGTCTACAGTATGCTGTATAATGTCCGCTGTAAGTAGACCCTCTATGATTCGAAAGTGCATATAGATTATAACGACAAGGAGTCACATTGTCTGCTGCATAATTGTTCATATCTAATCCATTTAGAGAAAATTCGATGGCAACATTTAAGTTTCCTGTGAATAGTTCTGTTAGAGAGAATCTTTCAAAATGAATGAATAAAATACGGGAAACCTAAAGATTGAAAGAGGGTGCATTTTCTTCTTTCCTTTGCAACGTAAACACGTCGGTTCGAAGGTTATTGATGAGTGTCCACAGTGTGCGCACTTGATCGTGGATTTTAATTGACCAAAGAAATTATCTACAATTTCAGAGTTACCTCACTAATGTACAGGCCGTATCTTTTAGCTGATACCACTATTGCTATCTCGGAAATGGTAGATCCTACAAGGACGGTTAAATGGAACAAAATTTGCCTATTTAGGGAAGCAACACACTAATATTTTCAGATCTATAAAATCATCAAAGGTTTCTGAGATATTTGCAAAAAACTGAAAATGACAGATTTTATTTTTTTGCTCTACCGCCTCCATTTTCAATAATTTTAAAAAACGACAAAAACTTTTTGCTTTTGAACTCATTTTTCAATGCACCGTTTCGTTCATTGAATTCCATCATAAATATTTGTTTTTAAATACGGACCTGTATATTTTTTTATACATTTTCATAGTCATTATAATTACAAATTCGTTGACATATCACAACATATGTATTTCTCAATGTTTCTTCCCGAAACCACATCATCAATATTCTATCATTATACTTTTTTTATTCAATGAGAAATCAAATAGCAAACTATTGTTGTAACATTTAGTTAACAGTATCGTTAATATATCACATTGGAAAAAAGACAGTTGCGAAAGAAAATGTAACGAAATAATAAATGGTAGAAAATGAACACCATAGTGAAATGTCTCACGTTACATTTTTCAAGTTACCGTCTCACGCGATATCGCATCAAATGTTCAAATTGTCTTCCATCATTTCTTAAACAAATACTTGCTATAGAAATATTGTGCTTGTGGCAGTTCTCTAACATCTGTGGAGTGAGAGCGATGCAGGCACTCCTTATTGAATCTTTCAACTCTTCATTATTTTCAAAATTTGTTCTGAATACTTGATCTTTTATGAAGCCCCACAATGAAAAATCTAGAAGAGAAAGGTCCGGTGAACGTGGTGGCCATTCAATAGAACCATTATTTCCTATCCACCTTCCTGGCATAGTTGTATTGTGAAATCTCTGCAGATTCTCCTGCGATGTGGTGGAGCTAGGTCGTATTGGAAATACTCATATTTTCTTATGAGGCTAAGCGGCAAATCTTCTAATAACTCAATTAGAGTCCTTGATAAGAAATCCAAGTATAATTCTCCGGTCAGAGATGTTTCAAAAAAGTGGGGGCCAATTATTTTATTATCAAGAACACCAAGCCATACGTTAACACCATATCTCTCTTGAAAATTGGTAACTCTATGTAAATATTCATTTTCTTGTCGTCAATGATAATGTATATTCCTGTTGAACTCCGTTATTGGTTTTCCGTACAGACGTAGTGGATATGGCTGAATTATGAGCAATCTCCCTCAGAGATACTTCCTTGTTCTCAAATTTTTTATTTTCCATAAATCCTATATCAAATTATTGTCATTTTATCATAATTGTGAATCTTCTTTGAACTCACCTAAAACGCCGATTTCATTATCGCCACCACATTCGGTAACCGTACATTTTCTTTCAGAGGGTTTTTCAAAAGATCCATAATTCCGTAAAGTATTTTAGATTCGTTTTCTCAGAAACCGTTGATGATTTATGTATCTGAAAATGCCATTCCTAAAAAGGTAACTTTTGTTCCAGTTAACCGTCCTTGTACGACCTACCGTTTTCGAGATAGCAATAGTGGTTCAGCCAAAAAGAACGGCCTGTATAATCTTTTTACCTATTGATAACGTAAGAGTAAAGAGGTATGTTAGGAATGGACCTTCTTCCCCGTTTGAAGGCATCAAAAAATTTGTTGTCATGTATCAGTCTGACAGTTTCAAACACTACTCATTGTTTGGTCGTTTTCTACGGTTTGTTGAGCGACACTGGATTTCTCTGGTATGGAAAAACGAATATGTTTCATAGATCAGTGACCACAACAATAGTGATTGTTTCATGATTGGAACTTTCTATACTTCTGGCTATAAAGCAACAAATTGAATATTACATTATTTAATTTTCTACTACACAATAAAAATTATTTAGGGTAATAATTAAGAATTTGTTATATGACCAAAATACTATATTTCTCTAGATTACAGTAGAGCGAAAAGGAAATATATTTACTCCTTGTAACAACTACCTCTCATAGTCGTGTTGAAAAATTAATTTTTTTCTTAGGTTATATCTTCAACATACCCTTAATGCTACAATGGGAAATGCGATAGTAGCCGACTACGTGAAATTTGACTGGCGCTTCGCTGGAGAAATAAGACAGAAAAACAATTGGGGCGAATTAACGTCTAATGTACTCTTCATATCTATGGAAGGAAATGTTACACCTTGTCATTACGACGAACAACAAAATCTCTTTGCTCAAATACAAGGATATAAAAGATGTATTTTATTTCCTCCCAATCAATTTGAATGTTTATATCCACATCCAGTTTATCATCCTCATGACAGACAAAGCATGGTAAGTACTTTATGATGTTGAATAACAATGGTGATGGACAAATAAAATCATTTTGTTTCATTAGTGACTGTGACTGAACAACTATTGGATGCGTTTTTCGGTATGATTTGCTACTGGAATATTACTGTAATTTTCATACACTTCAATTCATATTCTAGTTGCCATTTTGTCATTCATATTGTGAGGCGAACAAATAGTGCTTGGTTGTAATTTTTAATTATTCTGTCGCTTATTCTGAGCGAACGCCCGGCTACCGGTCGGTAGTCGGGCGGTTCGCTCCAGTTAAAGAAGAAATTAAACAACAATGAAATGTTTCAATCTAATGATAAGTCAAAGACACTGTGGGGTATATTCAATTGGTCTAACAAATAGAATTATGTCAGTACTTTTCTGATTCAGATGTAAGTTGTACTATGAGAAAGGTAGACAGCATAAGGAATTAATTTTCACTGTCTCCTGTTTCTGCAAGTAAAATTTATAATTGTAATAAATCAATCACAACCAAAATACCCATTTGACATTGACCAATGTACACATATAATTTTTAAAAAGGTATCTCATTACTTAGTTGTAGCTCTGACTAATTTGANGGGGTGCAAATCGAGTGATATATTAGTAACCCCAGTTATTCAATATTTTTAATGTTTGCGATGACTTGTTTCTTGATGTAAATAAATGCCATTTTTACCTTCTCAAGAGTTGGTAGGAAATTCAATTCATCATATAACATAAATGATCAGCACTTAGAATACACATCTTATATAAAATATTTGGGGGTCATTTTTTATGAACAACTTAGATTTGTCAACCATATCAACCGAATGAGTGTGAAATCATCCAAAACACTAGGTCTTATTAATGTAGCTCTAGTGATGTCTAAATTAGAATATGCATATATTATTTGGTCTCCATTTTACAATGTACACTGTGTATCTCTAGAAAGAGTGCAAATTAAATATTTGCACTCTTTCTGAATATTTGATTATATTATAAGAAATGGGTCTGAAACTATTGCAAACCAGAAGATTTATGCTATGCATTCAAGCTGCTCAGTGTATTTATGAATTGTCCTGAATTAGTTGAATCTGTCAACGTTCATGTTCTGAACAGAAATCTTAAACACAGTTATTTATTTCATATACCCTTCCATCATACAAATTATGGCAAACATACACCCTTGAAAAGAACCCTAGGTTAGGTTACTAACCTAATGGTTGCTAACCTAGCCTAGTGGATGACAAAAACATTATTTTTGGTGTCTCTCATTGTCGTTTCAAACAATCATTGAACGATTTAAGTTGGTAATTGTTTTTATAAGGTAGTAACAAGTTTTTATTTTTATTTTATATCCTAAAGTATCGTATGCTGTGTATAGTTGTGTGCTGCAGAAACAATCCGTAGCGTCCTATTTTATATTCTACATTTTTAGATTGTTACTTATTTTCTGTGAAATTTTTACATTGTAATGGGGTTTATCCCGTATAAATAAATAAATAAATAAATGAATTAACCATAAAATGTTTTCAAATCTAATGGACCCTGTAACTCAAAATTCTCTTCCAGGGTTCCCCTACCACGATAGAATACCCTCTAAAAGATTATCAGAAAGTATCGATAATGAGGAATGTGGAGAAAATGTTACTGGAAGTATTGCAAGATCCTAAAGAAGTAGGTCCATTGTTGAGGAAGATGGTTGATGGCAGATACACGAATCCATAAATCAGAGTCGTTATTCAATTCGACCAGTGATACATATTTGGTATTAGTTTGCACAAATTTGAACCGAGTTTAGAAGTCCAAGGACTGATCTAGTTGACTTTAATATTTTTATTTGTATGTTTTAAGNCTTCCAAAGAAAGTATAAAATAATTAATTTCAAAATAAACTCTTCACAAAGATGTGTAGACCATGCAAAGAAGTAACAATACAGACACAAACTGGAAGAAAAAGCTCTCTCAAAACATCTTTCATGTAAGCATTGAATAACACGAAAAAATACTTTTCGAAACAACTACTTCTATGCAAACATTGAATTATAAATATGAATATAATATTTACCAAAATATGATAGAACTGACCGATACTTGGTGAAAATCAATTGTAACATTCAAAAAAATATCTACTTGTGAGATTTCCATAAAACTGTGACAAGTGTTTCAGTATACAGTAGCATCTTCAGGCGTCATAATACTGATTAAACCAATGCTTTGTCATGCTTTCATAGTAACTTAAATCCTAATTACAATTACTTCCTGACAAATTTCTACATGATGAATTCATTATATAAAATATTTACCATTCTAAGAACAACTCATTGAACTGGAGAATAATTAAAACAAGTTTTATGTGTGACCTCATTTATTCTACTTTCAAGATATATCATAATTACCAATTTTCTCATTGCAAACTAAACTCAATAAAGGGTAATAGTTCAAATCTATTTGATCATATAAATCCTGAATTTTTAAATATATTGATTTCTAAGCATTCCAAAAAGTTGAAATTTGAACCTTTCATTTTCAAATGCAATACATCATAATCTTGATTGAACTCGTGTCCCTCTGTCAAAAGATGGTTTGCAAATGTTGAATTGCATACATCATAATCGTGATTGAAATCGTGCCCCTCTGTCAAAAGATGGTTTGCAAATGTTGAATTGGTCTCCTTATTGAAAAAACTATGTCTAGCTCTTTCATGCAAATGTTCAATATGTTCTTCCTGAACCTCGGCAATTTTGTCCCTAAGTTCCTGTGTTGCCTCAGTCTGCGTAACATTCATTTTTGATTTTATATATAATCCCAAAGAAAAAATCAAGAGGAGTCAAATCCGGTAAACGAGCAGGTCATTCTAACGGACCGCGCCTATTAATTCACATGCCTGAGTATGTCTGAATCAACTAATCCCTCAAGTGCCTAAAAAATACGGGGGCGCACCATCTTGTTGGAAAACAACTGGATTTTCCAACTCTATGAGCGAATAAGGTTTCAAAGAATTTACAAATAAATCACCAGTCAATTATTCCTCTATATAAATGAGACCAACAATATGATTTTCCTTCTGCCCAGGCATTTATTTTTCAGGAGTTTGAGTATGACCTTTTCAAAAATATGTGAGTTTATGTGTGACCAATATCGCATATTTTGTCGGTTGACATTTCCGTTCAAGAAAAAAGTGCATTCGTCAATAAAACAGATAATTTGTATGCAGTTTCGATTTGCAATCAAACATTCGAACATTATCTCACAAAACTGCATTCTTCTGTTAAGGTCATCTTAATTTACTTTATGTAATATTTTCAGTTTATAGAGGTGAACTTATGTCGTCTGAGGTATCTCTTGATGGTGGTTGTTGAGACATTATTCTTAAGAGCAGCTATTCCCGTGGACTGCAGGAGGTTATTCACTACAGTTGCAACGATTTCTTTGTTTCTCGTTTTTTGAAATAGATTTTCTTCCAGCTTCTCTAGCTACACTTCCAGTTGTTTTAAAATTTTCAGCTAATTCCCTAAAATATTTTCGGCAGATCAGATTATCAGGAAATCTCGCATTGAACTCACTTTCTGTCCTATGAAAATTGCGGCAGGCCTTGGTGAATATGAAGATTGGTTGAATTTGTTATATGACCAAAATACTATATTTCTCTAGATTAGAGTAGATCGAAAAGGAAATATATTTACTCCTTGTAACAACTACCTCTCAAAGTCCTGTTGAAAAATTTCTTTTTTTTCTTAGGTTATATCTTCAACATACCCTTAATGCTACAATGGGAAATGCGATAGTAGCTGACTACGTGAAATTTGACTGGCGCTTCGCTGGAGAAATAAGACAGAAAAACAATTGGGGCGAATTAACGTCTAATGTACTCTTCATATCTATGGAAGGAAATGTTACACCTTGTCATTACGACGAACAACAAAATCTCTTTGCTCAAATACAAGGATATAAAAGATGTATTTTATTTCCTCCCAATCAGTTTGAATGTTTATATCCACATCCAGTTTATCATCCTCATGACAGACAAAGCATGGTAAGTACTTAATGATGTTGAAAAACAATGGTGATGGACAAATAAAATCATTTGGTTTCATTAGTGACAGTGACACTGAACAACTATTAGATGCGTTTTTCGGTATGATGTGCTACTGGAATTACCATTACCGTCATTTTCATACACTTTAATTCATATTCTGGTTGTCATTTTTCATATTGACGAAATCTTGAGAATTAAAGTAGTGGCGAACAAATAGTGCTTGGTTGTAATTTTTAATTCCCGGTTTTTCACCTTTACTGGTTATTCCAAGAAAAATATTAGTAATGTATTGTGAAACTGACAATTCAACAAATGTCTTCAAGTTATGTGTTTTTTACTTTTGATACAATAATTAACTCTGACAATTAAAATTTGAATTTATATAAAAATGGAATTGCCCTTTCGAGTATTTTCAGGGCTGATTACTGTTAGTTCACTCTAAAAAATTTCTACTCCAAAAAAAATCAGTAAATCTGAAAAGTTACTCGACTTACTAGACACCACTTATCATGTTTGAAATTTTTTCCTCAAGGATAATTGAATACAGTTCTTAACGAAACCGATTAGTTTGTACAGTGAGTGGCCTTTCAGTTCAGATGGTAAGAGTACGGCTCTGCCAAACTCTGAAAACCTGATTCGGTCCCCGGCGGGGCAGGCACAAAGTATGTGCTCTGCTGTTTCATCATTTTCAAAACAGAGGTGACACACACTGTCTTCCGTAAGACATCGTAGTTCATCCCTACTGTAGTCCAACAACAACTGAAAGATTCTGCCAGAAGTCCATAAATCTTCTTGCCTTCCAGGTGTTCAATGTTTGTTTGAGATTTATGCTTTATAATAGAATATGCACTTTCAAAAACCACTTGACTTTTTCGTTTCAAAAATATTAACATATTTCAATAATTTCAAATCTTCAACAACTATTGTGTTTAACCACCTCCACAGTCCCATTGAATTGTAGGTGGGTATATGTTTAGTAGGATAGTGAGATTCAGTCATCAAACATTTCATTAAAGAATATTTTTAGGTTGATTTTGACAAACCGGACTATTCCAAATACCCGAAATTTAAAGATGTCAAAGGCTGTGAAACAGTTATTGGTCCAGGAGATGTCCTGTATATTCCAATATATTGGTGGCATCATGTGGAATCATCAATGGAAGGAGGTCCTACCATTACAGTCAATTTTTGGTACAAGGTTAGTACCCTTTTTCATTGAATTAATTTTTATCTTGTGGCTCTCAGCAAACAGTAATCATTAGTAATGCATCAGAGGATACAAATAATAATATTAAAGTAATATTTTGGGCTTCCAAATTTCAAACTTTTGAAAATGTGTTAAACCTAAAAAGACATTTCTCTTAGATTACAAGTCCCGTACCTCTACTCCATATTTAAATATCATTCTACGAAAAAAATATTTATCTGCTAACAAATTCATAAAAACAACCAATATCAAATGTCAATTATTGTGCGCATTAATTTACTCAACTCTTCATGTAGAGATTGATCAATAACCAACATGACTTTTCTCGAAATAAATCGACTGTTTCCAATCTTCTGATCTACGAGCAAAAAATACTGAAACTCTTGGAGGGTTGAGGTCAGATGAGTGCCATATACACCGACTTTTCCGAGGCATTTGAGAGAATGAATCACAATATACTATTGGAGAAAATAAGAAATTTTGATTTTACAGACCATTTGGTAAATTGAGTTGGCTGATTGTTCACAACAGGTTAAAATTGGGGGATGCAAATCGAGTGATATATTAGTAACCCCAGTTATTCAATATTTTTGTGAATGATATAGGATGTTGTTTTGAGAACAGTGAATTTTTAATGTTTGGGGATGACTTGTTTCGTAATGTAAATAAATGCCATTTTTACCTTCTCAAGAGTTGATCAGCTCTTAGAATACCATTAGTCATCCAGAAAACATGTTTGGAAAAAACACCTGGTATACAGATGGGTCGAAGACCAAACATGGAACGGGAGCTGGAATATACCGAGCAGATAGAAATTTAAACTACAGTTATCCGCTAGGACTATACACATCCGTCTTTCAGGCGGAAGTGTATGCTTGCAGTGTGCAGAGCTTTTTAAATTGAGACCTCAAAAGAAATGAGCGGATCAATATTTTAACAGACAGCCAGAGCGCACTAGGGGCTCTGACAAACCCAATGGTGACATCAATGCTGGTCTGGGAATGCCATGAAGAACAGAATGAACTTGCAAACAGAAAAAAATCAACTTTGTACTGGGTGCTAGGGCATTCAGGAATCACAGGTAATGATAAAGCTGATGAATGCGTTAGACACAGATCATCAATTTCATNCCTGAACCAGCTCTGGGGGTACCAAAATCATTGGTACGAAACCAGATTAGGACATGGACCAATAAGAAGCACACAGAGTACTGGACAAAAGTACCTGGCAACAAACACTGTAGAACCTTCATTAGGGAACCGTCCGAGAAAAGAACCGAAGAACTACTTCAATATAATAGGGATCGGCTCAGAATAATTACAGGGTTACTAACCGGTCATTGTCCACCTAGAGGACACCTGAATAAAATGGGGCTGTGAAACGGAGACCTCAGCTGCATATTATGCAACGAAGGGATGGAAACAGCTCATCACATCTTATGCGAATGTGAGGCACTGAATCACAGGAGGCAGACAATGAGGCTGCAGTGTTTTTTGGAGACTTGGACTAAATGGACAAGTCAGGCAGCTCCCAAGGGACCAAAAAAAACCCAGTTATTCAGAATTTTTGTGAACAGTGAATTTTTAATGTTTGGGGATGACCTGTTTCTTAGTGTGAATAAATGCCATTTTTACCTTCTCAAGAGTTGATCAACACTTAGAATACACATCTTCTATAAAATATCTGGGGTTTAATTTTGATGAACAACTTAGATTCGTCAACCATATTAACCAAATCAGTGTAAAATCATCCAAAACACTAGGTCTTATTTATGTAGCTCTAGTGGTGTCTAAATTAGAATATGTATGTATCATTTGGTCTCAATTTTACAATGTGAAATGTGTATCTCTGCAAAGAGTGTTAGGAATCACACGTTAAAAGGTAAGACCTCGTTAATCCTTAGCTCGCACAAGTTTCTACTTCTGAGGGTTATCTTACTTAGGGGTGCGACAGCTGGTTAACAGAAAAAGAGATTTTAAACAGATTTCAAATGGTCTCAAGATCCTAAAGAAGTAGGTCCATTGTTGAGGAAGATGGTTGATGGCAGATACACGAATCCATAAATCAGAGTCGTTATTCAATTCGACCAGTGATACATATTTGGTATTAGTTTGCACAAATTTGAACCGAGTTTAGAAGTCCAAGGACTGATCTAGTTGACTTTAATATTTTTATTTGTATGTTTTAAGTTATACGCCAATTCAGGGATGTATGAAAAAAGCAGAAAATTTTAAATGATTGAGGTGTACACAAAGATCATCAATTTTTTCTGTTGTGTGTTTATAAAGTTCTTCCTTCATTTAACAAGCTGTACATACTTTTAAAAAATGAATACAAGTTATACATGAAACAAAAAAAATATTTTTTGTCAAGATATTCTATGGTTGAAAAATTAATCAGGATCACTATTCTGACACTTTGTTGAATTAAAATAGTTGGGAATATTCTGAAAAGCATTTGGAAGAAAGTGACCCTGTTATACTCAATGTTTTTCGTGTTCAATTGGTAGTGAAAATCCTGGCAGTAACTGTATTTTTTTTGTATTTGTATGATTTTATATAAGGTGAATAGTATTAAACGTGTTTTCATGAAAATCTGGTGAAACAATACGTTGAACGTTTTACTGTTTTCCTTAATACAAGGTATCTTTACTAAACTTTGTTTGATATAAGGGGGCTAAAGTTTTTAAGAAAAATTTATTTTGATAACTTTGGTATGAACCTATATATTTTTGTGAAATCTGATATTCATCATAAGGCATTTTCCGCTGTACAATATGATTTTTAAATCTTGCCAGTGGCGTTCATGCGTAATTTGCGACAGGAGAAAAATGATATGAAATTTATTTCACTGTATAACAGAAATCTCCGTGCCCTTCAAATTGTAATATATCGTTTCATCTTTCTATTATCAACTCTTTGGCTGTGAAAGGCTCAGTTGTGGTTCACAGTAGAACTCATTTCACCACTAGCAAGAACTTACTTGGAACTTACTGGAATAGTTGTTGAAGCATTTATAGTTTTTAAATGAGAATAATTTTCTTTACTTACCATTTTATCAATTTCTCAACAAGTCATTCATTCTTAAAACTGTTTTTGGGATATAGAAATCATCGAGAATCGCTCTTTTCAAGTGTCAAACATTATGACAAAAATTGTGAACTTTTGTTCCTAGTCATAAAAAAACTTTCAATGTTGCCTGATCTTATCAGGTGATGATTACTTACTAGTTATTTTTCTTTTAACTTTCACAAGTTTGTTAGTTTGTGTTAAGAGTGACACTACTTTTGTTATTTTCAAAACAATGAATCAAAAACAATTTTGTGTTTTCAATTGACACTTTTCAATGGAAAAAAATACCGTTCAAGCGAAGTAATGGCTTGAAAAATGTTATAAGGATTCCGCTCTATCAGAAACAACAATAAAACGTTGGTTTGCTGACTACAAACGTGGTCGTAGAGACACTGATGATGTAGAATGCTGTGGACGTCCAAATGGGGCAGTAACACCAGAAACATCAAAAATCCAAAAAATTGTTTTGAATGATCGGTATTTAGCGTCCTTGTTTAACCAGAAGCGTCGTTTGCGGATTTTTTTTTACAAGCATCTTTATAAAATTAAGTACAGAAAAAATGATCTTCAATGTGGAGTAAATGAAATAAATATACATAATAAACGAAAAGTTTAAACAAAATCATACCTATTTACACCTGGCTTCGTAGAGGTAGCGGCTAAACAATTAGTAGCAACTGTGACTTTTCAAATTTTTCGAATACTCTATTGTAAAGTGCTGTAGGCTTTATTTCCATAAAATGCAAACGAAATTTATTTCTAAAAGTCAATTAATAATATTTTAATTTATAATACTGGCGGGTAATTACTAATTGGCATCTTATGAAAAATGAAATCTCCTACTTATGAAATTACTTGTGTGGAATAACAAAAGAAGTGTTAAGTATTTTAAGACTATTGAATTTGCCTCTAAATGATTCTCTTGAGTTTAGTTTCAGCATAGTTCTTAAGGCTCTTTTTGGCATAATAAAAATTTGCTCTGCATTTCTACTACCTCGATAAAAATAATCCCATACCCACAAACAGATTCAAAATTTGAATGATAGACCATTTGGGTTACATCTGTGTCAACTGTATTTTTTATTAAACAAAGTATGATATACCGCATTTGAACATTTTAAACTTTTTTGGTATTTTTTATTGTATGATATCTTTAATCAATTTTATGTGTTTGAGTATTTTAACATTATTTGTATCCTTAAAGATGGGACAACACTTGTTTGCCGAAATCAGGAAACAACACAAGCGCACGGAGTCAACAGCCAACCGCACATTTGTGGTTCCATATACTTATGTTTATGATGACTGATGAAAATTTGTAGTTTTGTCAATAAGACCTAATGTTCTTTGGGCAATAAAGCATATTATTATTATTATTAACATACTGACCAATAACTCTCATTGAATACAACATTGAGTTCAACTTTTGACAAACATTTTGAATATGACTGTTGAAATTCAGTGTGCTGTCTATGTGCAGTCCTAAGAATTTGCACTAATTTTCTATTTTGAGTGAAATATTCGTCAACGGAATTTCTTGAGGTAAATCAAATCCTGCATGGTTTGTTTCTCCTGAACCACTCATCTGCATTACAGAGGCTTTCTTCAGTTATGGATGTCAGACCGGGATAGTCCACTGCATTGACCAGCAAGTTTGTGTCATCCGCATAATTTGTCATTTTGCAATTTGCCCCACAAATCTCCTCCAGGTTATTTAGAAAAATTATAAACATCGCTGGGCCAATTATACTACTATGTGGCACCCCAGTATCAATTAATTTTATGTCTGATTCAGCTTTGATTCCTTCCTTGTTAATTAACACCATTTGTTTGCTACCTAATATATAAGATTTAAGCCATTTCAGCGCAGGGCTACGTATGCTATATGATTCCAGCTTTTGTAGAAGAACTACGTGGTTCAAACAATCAAAAGCTTTTGCCAGGTCTAGAAATAATCCCAATGCCAAATTATTGTTCTCAAGTTGTAACAAGATATTTTGAAAGAACTGAAAAATTGCTGTATGCGTTGATTTCCCTTTCATTCTGATATCTATGTTGCCACTTACTGATAAGATTACACTAAATGAAGAAATCCATCACCTGTTTGCATAATACAGCTTCAAAAATTTTTGAGAATGAAGACAATAGACTAATTATTAGTCTGAAGTTTTCTAGTTTAGAGGGATCCCCCTTTTTCAATATGGGTTTGACTAATGCTAGCTTGGGTGAGTTAGGAAAAACTCCGTATTTTAGGGAATTGTTCACTATATATACAACCGGATCTATCATTTCTTATATACACAATTTAATAATTTTAGAGGGGACTTCATCATGTCCACTACTCATCTTACTTTTAATTTTTTTAACAATTTCTAAAATTTCATTTGCATTTGTTGATGTTAGCAGTATTGATTTGTCATTTGATTTTATTTTGTCAATAGTGAGCGTAAGTATTGTATTATTTCTTAACAATTTTTTTTGATAGGCAAAATTGTTAAATAGACAAGTTACTGATAAATAGAAAATTTTTCTTTGTGAAAAATACTTTGATTTTTATGCAGTAACTTATCGGGGTAAAATAAAGAGTTTGCCTTTTACACTTGTATAAAGTTCTCCATTATAAGTTTCATATTTTTCAGATTGTGGAAGGTAACAAATACCCAAAAAAGGTCGATAAGAAACAATTAATTTGTTCTATCAATATTTTGAGATCTCTGTCTGATACGGCGACAATTTGATAAGTGTTCCGGCAAATCATAAATAAAAATAAGAAATAATAGGGGTCCGAATACCGATCCCTGAGGAATACCTGAGTTTACGTTATTCCCCGGACTTTTCTGCCCATGTGTTATATACGTGTAGAGAGGGCAAAATTTTTAGTTTGCCCCAATAAGTTACTGTGTAAATTCAAAATTTTTTTCACAAAAAAAAATGTTTAATAATTTTTCCTCAACAGGAAGATTAGAAAGAAAGCGAATCAGCCAAGAAAAATTAACTAATTATTCTAAATATCGAAGATACATGTGCATTTTAGTAGTAGAATTACTTCGTGGTTCACTCTGGCAGAAGATCATCCCCCAATTCTTCATTTCCAAAATCATCAAAATCTAAAGGTTTGCCTGCTCCTGTTCTCGGTCTCATTGGTATCGGACCTAGTGGGTCCATATAACTTGCATCTGTAACAATTGATAGTAATAATGAAAATTCTCCTCAATGAAACGTATAATCACTACATAGTATGGAACAAAGTCGCTTTCCGCTGTCTGTCGCTTTGTATGCTAAGATCTCTAAAACTACGCAACGTATTTTGATGGGGGTTTTTTTGATAGAGTGATTCAAAAGGATGGTTTATAAGTATATAACATGCATAATATAGTAGATAAACACTGATTACTTTAGAGGTTTTTGATGTGATGTCGAAAGTAAACACATGTTTAACGCTAACCTTGCAACCGCTGGCTGAACCCTACGAGATAAATAAAAAACTTACTGCAATATCGTACACATTAAAAAGTTCTACAATTCCGTGATGGTATATGTCTATCTCTTAGGAATAACCCACAATAACCATTTTTCATCGTCGAGAAATGAAGGCTTATTAACAGTATTAATTCAATTAAGTATCTTGAATACATTTTGCGCTTCGTCCTATAGCACTTTATGAATAACATGGGTCACACACGTTTATATCAGCATTGCACCCGTGCAGAGTCGGGGCGGGTCGCTAGTGAAAATAGAATAATATAGAATATCCTTCATTCACCATAAAAAACACAATAGTATTATAAGGTTTTGTCAAATACCATATACCATAAGAATACCACAAAGAATTATAAAAATACCATAAAAACACAAAATAAACAAATAAGCAAATGAGATGTGAACAATTTCAATATAAATATCACTTTCTCCATAGATTGTAACTTCAAAATATTAGTTAGTGTTAGTTAGTTATGAAATACGTATTACAAATATATTGAAAAAGCATACAGTGACTCACTGGTTCAACAAAGGTTTTACAAAAAGGAATTGAGATTTGTCTATATCTAAAAATAGACACAAGGCCAAGATTAAATATCATGATGGATTGGGTTCATTCGGGTCTTTGTTGAAGACATTGAACTGTGGTGTTATCTTACAAAAGACAATGGAATGATAACTAAATAGTAAGGTTTCTTCTTAGCAAGCTTTAGCTTCAGGTTACCATCAATATGTTAAGCAAATTTGAACAATTGACCTTACATATGTTACAAGATATTGAAATATTGGAATGGAAAAACACAGTTAGTTTATATTTGTTGTACTTGATATTTTCAAAGTAAAATATTCAATAACTAAAATGGCTTCCAGTTCATGGAAACTACCCATGGTTCATGGGTAGTTTCCCGAGAATTCACAGATAGATAGTTTATTTCCTCTTTGTACTGTTTTTACATGGATATATAATTGAAATCTGATCCAACACAAGAATTTATCATAACTCGCACGTCTGATATTAATATTTATGTTGAGGGGGTGGGTCTAAAGTGAGTTGGTCTGTCATACTGCAACCCGCGAGGGTTTATTGTGGCTCACATCCCTTTAAACTCGACCAAACAAGTCCAGCTTCTAACAAAGCAGATATTCAATGAATGATCTTTCAAGTAGACGGTGAGAGTGAAACTCTATCGAAAAATGAATATGATGTTTCAGGCGACACTACATATTCCACTACATAAAGAAGAACCCTCAAACTATCGACTAATAGCTCTGATTCCAACTATAATATAATAAAAAAATTAGTAAAACTGAGAATAATAAATTTTTTACAGAAACATAAAATCATAAACGGCTCACAATTTGGATTTTAAATTGAAAAAAACTCTACCGATGCCGTATTTAATCTTATACATAACATTTATACCAGGATCATTGATGCAGTAGTGGCTGCAGTTTTCTGTAGTATAACCATTTGATTGTGTTGATCATGAAATACTGCCACAGAAACTTGAATACTCTGGTTTTAGTAAACTCTTACCAATGGATAGAATCATGCCTATTGAGTCGTAGTCAAATAGTAATGAAAATTCAAGTTTGAAAAAACTGAAATAAGGAGATCAACAGGGCTCGGTTGTGGAACCAGTTTTTTTCTTGATCTATATGAATGATCTAACATACATTAGGTAGTTTTACATCACATGCTGATGACACAACAATCATCAGGGACAGTTCCAACATTGAAGACTTGAACAAATGTGTTGAGGAATAAATAGGAAAGTATTCAGTTGGTGTGAATCGAATCCTCTTTCGTTTGATACAATAAAACCAATTTACTGACCTTCAAGTGCTCTTCACAAATAATTCGGAAATGATAGAAAACAAAACCTGTGCAACATCTTGAGAAATCCATATTGACAATAAACTCAAATTCGATGAGTCCCATAACATACTCCCATTACAGTGATATTAAACTTCCTCTTCCTCCAACAACTTTGATCAAAGATTCATTCATTTACAATGTCTATAAGATATATAATAACTCACTTGCCTAAATCAAGAACATGGAACCCTTTACTGAATTTTAAATAGCAGTGAAGAACGTTTTGGTGGAAAAGGCCTATTATAATTTGAAGAATACTTTAAAGATTATTTCTGATACATTCACTATAATCTGTTATTTTTATTATTGACATTTTTATACAGTATTAGACTTGTATAAACATTATTTGTGGTCATATTTTTTACTTCATTTGAGCATAATTCATTTAATGTGCAATGAAGTATATTTTCAACATCATCATGATACTAAGTAGGCCTGTTAGACAACGTAAGTCTTTCTTGCTGTAATCTAATAATTGTTTGGAATCATACACCAAAATTGGCATAAATACCAAAATAAGTATAAAATATGGCCAATGATAGGATCTGATCCCATGAAACTGCTTGTATAAAATATGGCCAATGATAGGATATGATCCCATGAAACTGCTTGCAGCGCCCTCCCTTGCGAAAGAGTCAGCAGCTTCATTACCTTCCATTGTTGTCACTAATCTTTCTAGTATTTTTGGCAGTTCACTACCAACTTGGATGTTTCTCGGTGAGAGACAAATGAGAGCCACCTGGTTCCTTTCAATATCTCCGCACGAAATGAATGACGTAACATTTTTCATTAAGGAAGTGAGTAACAGGCCCCACCCTAAATCGGTACGACCAATCAGCCTTACATCCTTCCTGTTGAAAGGACTTGAGAGGATATTGGACGGACACATGAGGAGGATGGCATTATACACATCTTCCCTGAATAATCACCAGTATGCTTATCAAACCGGCAAATCGACAGCTTTAGCATTACACAACCTGGTAGAGAAAATCTCCCAATCCCTTGACAACAAGGAGATTACGGTTGGTGTATTTCTCGATTTTGAAGGAGCATTTGACAATGCACTGCCTAAATCAATAGCACTGCCTAAATCTCTGGCTAGGAAAGGTATAGAATCAACGATAACTGGCTGGATTTATGCCATGCTGGTAAACAGAACTGTAACTACGATTCTTCAAGGCGAGGCCATCAGGTTCAGGGTCACCAGGGGCTGCCCTCAAGGTGGGGTACTATCTCTTCTTCTGTGGTCGCTCCTGTGGGTGGTCTGCTTGATGCCCTCCACAGAAGAAAAGTAGATCTGCAAGCCTCTATAGATGACCTTGTCAACTTGGCAAGGTCCACGTCGAGAAGGGTAGCTTGTAATATCCTCTGAAGCACGTTGGACGTTGTTCACAGTTGGTGTGTGGGGGAGCAGATGTCTGTCAACCCCAGTGAAACTGTAATAATCCCTTTCACCAGGAGGGGAAAATTGGACGATCTAACGCCACTTTTCCTCAATAATGAGGTCATTTCATTTGGAACGGAGGTGTAATATCTTGGCATTTTCCTTGATAAAAAACTCACCTGGAACGCTCACTTGGAAAAAGTTTTACACAAAGCCAGACTGTCACTATGAACATGTCGAAGGATTTGTTGAAAAACTTGGGGTTTAGGCCCCAAAGAAATCCATTAGATTCATGTGATGATTGTCAGACTAATGATCACTTATGGTGCAGTTGCTTGGTGGTCGAAGGCTTTACAGAAAATGGCCCAGGCGAAGCTCTCTGGCTTACAGAGACAGGCTTGTCTGGCCATCAGTGGTGCTATGGATATCCTTCTAGATCTACCACCTCTCCACATTTTTCTGGAGAGAGGCTAGATGGAATGCATACAGACTTGTGCACATTGCCAATTGCACAAATCAATTTAATGCAGAATGCCACGGACTGTTGGTTGACATTGGAAGTGACAGCATTCTGGAAATGACCTTTGATTTTATGTCTCCAACTATCAACTTCAAACTGCCTTATAAAGTACTGTTCCCGAGTAGAGAGGATTGGATCCTCCGGGAAAAGTAAAATTTTAAGAGCAGGTAGTTTTTGGTTCACAGATGGATCAAAAACACCTTCCCGTTCTGGTGCAGGTGTTTTTAGTCGCAGACCCAGGACAGATATATCGACCTGCCTAGGAACCTATGCGACTGTATTTCAAGCGGAAATTTATGCTATTAAATTGTGTGTGGAGAGATTGAAAGAATCCAACCTCATACACGAGTCAATAAAAATATTCTTGGACAGTCAAACGGCGTTGGAAGCTCTTGGCTCCTACCGAGCAACGTCTAAATTGGTAGCAAATTGACAAAAACGACTCTCCTCGATAGGAAGACTTAACAGATTGTCTCTGGTCTGGATTACTGGCTTGGAAGGCAATGAGGCTGCTGACTGAACCTGTCATTGGCATCGCTTTAGGCTTTGCCAATCAAACATTGAACACCTGGATGGCAAGAAGATTTATGGACTTCTGGCAGAATCTTCCAGGATTGGCTCACTCCAAGGCGTTTATTCACCCTTCGAAGCTGGATATCAAACAGTTGTTGGACTAAAGTGGGGATGAACTATGATGTCTAATAGGCTTTCTTACAGGTCACTGTCTTTTGAATCATCATATGCAGAGACTCGAACTGTTGGAAGACTGTGTGTGTCGCCTCTGTTTGCAAAATGATGAAACAGCAGTGCATATACTTTGTGCCAGCCCCGCTGGGAACCGAATCAAATTTTTAGAATTTGACCTCAGAGCCGTACTCTTACCATCTGACGTGAAAGACCACTCACCTTACAAACTAATCGGCTTCGTTGAGAAGCTGGGTTTATTTGGTCGAGTGTGAACCACAATAAACCCTTGCAGGTTGCGGTGAAGGGTCGAATAGATCCACTCACTTCGCACCCAACCTAACCTAACCTAGGTAACTGGTGTTATATGCCGAAGATTCTACTATTGACTACGAATACAGATTTTATAATAATATTTACCAGCTGTTGGTTGTCCAAAACCTGAGTCACCACTTCCAGCACTGTTATGGGCCTGCAATAATCTGGACGAACGTGACTGTCTACCTTCAGAGTGAAGAGGGCTTCTGAGTTGAGTGTTTTCTGGTACTGGGCTGAATCCTGATCCGGCCCTTGAAGATAATCCGCTATTACTTCTTCTCGAACCTGAGTAGTAATAATACTAACTATTAGGTTATTTCAAAAGTTTTTTCTGTCTTAATGTCATATGTTTTGAACTCCATATCTCAATATATATCTCAATGATATACACTGCATTTCTTGAATGTCCCCCCCTCCTTTTATTATTGCATGAATACTTTATTCTGAAGTGAAATTGACAGATGAAACTTTCAAGGTGGCGAAGGGGAGTCTTGAGGTCAGTTCAGAAGATGCTCGAAATGGTTGCCTTAAACTTCTTGACATATGAACAGCCTATCCGATATTTCACGCAGAACATTTTCGAACACAGTAACGTCAATAGCTCTACAAATATTTATTATTCTCTGCCCTATATCCAATATTGAAGCAGGTTCGGTTTCATACACCTTTTGCTTCAAATAGCCCTATAAAAAACCTCCAAAGGTGTAAAATCTGGCGAGCGGGCTGGCCATTCTGTAGGACCTCGACGGCCAATCCAACGTCCGGAAAAAATATATCCAACTAGTTTCTTGTCTGGAGTAATGTGGTGGTGCTCCATCTTGTTGGAATACAATATCCATATCAAATTTATTAGGATTCGCTTCGACGATGAGAGGGTCAACAGTAGTTTCCAGCATATTCAAGTTCCCCTGTTAAATTTTTATCAATATGGTTTCCCAATATTACTGCCCAAACTTTAACTTTTTCTGGATATTGGGTATGTGTTTCCAGGAAAACGTGAGGGTTGGTGTCACTCCATAACAGCAATTTTGTCTGTGAACATTGCCGTTTGAAAAAATGTACATTCGTCACTAAAACAAATATTGTAGAGATAGGTAGGATGCCTTGCAATGGTTTCCATCATGATTTCGCAGAATTCTGTTCTTCGATTAGGGTCATCTTCAGTTAATTGGTGTACCATTTTAATTTTGTATGGATAGTTCCTATTCCTCTTCAAAAGTCTCCACACAGTAGAAGGAGACACCTCACAAACATTCGCGACGGAATAAGTAGACTGTTCAGGATTTACTACCATCTCACCAATTATTTGCACTTGCTGTTCTAATGGACGGATGACCTGGGGGCTTTGTGTTATGTACACTACCGGTAGTTGTGAATTTGGATACAAGTTCCCTCAAATATTTTCTACAGATAGGACGATTCGGAAAACTTTCATTGAAAATCCTTTCGGTCTCGTGAAAGTGACGCGTCGCACCGTAAATAAAAATCGCTTCGATTTTTTCTTCCAATGGACGAGAATTGACCATTTTAAAGATTGTTGACGTGGTACCTTTTCACCAGTAAAACCGAAAACTTAAGAGAATATTCTAAGTGAACAATGATGTTCATTGTCGTTTTTGCCGTTTTTATAAACAAAAAATAATTTAACAAACCTTATCAGGTTGTTGGAACTGCCATATATACGGTATTAATGTGTTTGTCTTCAGGGAATTATTAAATGTTCTGCCATTTTGTAGTTTGTTAATATATTAACTTCATATTCTAGAGTTGTGAAGTATTCGTCAGGAGCTTCAAAAAGATGTGTCGCAAGACCCCCCCCTAAGTATTCACTGAGATATAACAGTTTAAAGTCGATTCATAAAACGGACAAAACTTCTGAAACAACCTAATATTAACTGAAATAAAGATTATTAATCATTTATTTTATTTGTTCATTATTTTATATAACTTTCAAAAATAATTCTCTGTTATCCTAGTCAAATCATTGGTCAGTACTTGTTTTCTAAACCTAAATCTCCAACCAAATTATTAAAAAATGCTAACCAGGTCTGCTGCTATTAACCCTTTCCCTGACTTCCTTTGACTTTTCCAATTTCTTCAGTTCCGAAAGGTACTCCTGAGCTTCCCTCATGCCTAAATCGCTACACAATCTAACGAGAAATCTCAAGCATTCGGCGTTTTCCGGAAACTGTTTGTGGATATCTTGATACAGAGTCAACGCTTTGTGCATGTTGCCGCTGCGTCTGTGACAACCCGCCACCATCATGTTCCATTTTGGTTCATTAGGTTGCATTATGGCGGCTTTTTCGAAGTAAGCAAGTGCCTTTTCTACAACTTGCATTTCTATGTAGTAGGAACCGAGCCAGTCGATAACTGAAAGATTCGCAGGGTAATATCTGTAAGACTGAAAGTGAAAAAATAATTATAGGTGAAAACAACAACAATGTATTCTTTAAAAAAACAATGTGAACATTTGAAAACTTTCAATTGTTCGATTAATCAGTCAACTACGTAATTTTCGAATATTCTTAACCTTACTCTATCTAATCGAGCTAAAGAGTCAGGTAACTGGGAGCTTTATAAAACCACTCTAACGACATACAACAAGGAAATTAGAAAGACAAAACGGAGTCTTGGAGGAAGATCTGTGAGAGTATCTCTGATTTACCTCGCAGCACAAGAATTCACAAGATTTTCTCTAGAGAGTCGACTGCTGAAATTGGGTCGCTTAAACGACCCGATGGAACTATTACGACCTCTAGTAAATAAACATTAGAGCTTTTGATAGAAAACCATTTTCCTGGAAATCTGACTCTTGATAACAACAGACCGCCCGTCTTGGAGAGCGCTAAACGCCCAAGAAAGAACGACTGGGACGTCGCAAAAAAGGTTATCACAGCACCGGCAGTTGAATGGGCTATCAAGTCTTTTCAGCCCTTCAAATCTCCCGGAGAGGATGGATAATTCCAGCTCTTCTTCAAAACGGACTGGAAATAATTTTACCTATACTCACAAAATTGTATAGAGCTAGTCTGGCGTGGAACTATATAACACCCTGTTGGTTGGCAGTAAGGGTGGTATATATACCTAAAGTGGGCTGGAGAGACCCACTCCTCAAATCGGTACGACCAATCAGCCTTCCTGCTTCCTTCCTGCTGAAAGGACTTAGAAGGATACTGGACGGACATATCAGGAGGGTAGCATTATATGCTTTATATGCTTATCAAACCGACAAATTCAGCATTAAACAACCTCGTTGAGAAAATCTCCCAATCCCTTACAACAAGGAGATTGTGGTTGCTGTATTTCTTGATATTGAAGGATCATTTGACAATGCACTACCGAAATCTATAGGATTGCCTCTGGCTAGAAAGGGTATAGAATCGACCATAACTGGCTGGATCTATGCCATGCTAGTAAACAGAACTGCAACTACGATTCTTCAAGGCGAAGCTATCAGGCTCGGGGTCACCAGGGGCTGCCCTCAAGGTGGGGTACTATCTCCCCTTCTGTGGTCGCTCCTGGTGGGTAGTCTGCTTAATCCCCTTCACCAAGAGAAGAAAATTAGACGATCTAACGCCACTTTCCCTCAATGGTATGGTCATTCCATTTGGAAAGGAGGTGAAATATCTTGGCATTGTCTTTGATAAAAGACTCACCTGGAACGCTCATAGGTGCTCGAAATGACAACCATCCTGTTGAATACAAAGATCCACCCTTTCTATAAAAGACTGCTTACCGTTTAATAACATTTGAGGCGACACTCTACGAAAAGCAGCCCTTAGTCTCTCCTTTATATTATCCAGTATGGTTGGCAATTGAAGACAATTGAAATCTGGTGATCTTGCTGGCCAATTTTGTGGTCCTCGCCTACCAATTATTTGGAAAGGACAGATTCAAAACTGTTCGACACTGAATTTGAAATGTGCCCGAGCTCCATCCAATTGTGACCACATCCGTTGTCTGATATTAAGCAGCACATTCTCCAGAAGCTCAGACAGATCATCTCATAAAAATTGTAAAAAGTTTGGTCATATAACTTGTTTACCTATAATTACTCCCCACACATTAACAGACCATCTATTCTGGTGATCCAGAGTGCGGAAAAAATGAGGATTTGCATCACTATAATAATGGAAATTGTGTCTGTTCATTAAGCCATTGTTATGAAAAGTAGATTCATCAGAAAATAAAATTGTATCCAAAAAGTGTACATCCTCAGTAAACCAGAACCCATAGACAAATCTCTATTCGTCGATAAAAGTCTATTTCATATAATTCCTGATGTATATGAATACGGTACGGATGAAATTTGAATTTTTTTATCACCGTCTGCTCCATCTGCTTATCCCTGTATCTTTCCCGATCTTACTTTGACTCGTATGAGGGTTTCTATGACTGATCCCGCAATAAGAAATTGTTTTTCTTTATTTCCAATGGTCTATTTTCCTTTTCATAAGCTATACTTCCAGTACTATGAAATTCATGTAGCAATCGTTTGAAAACCAATTTGTTTGGATGATTCCGGTCTGGATTTTTTGTGCATACACCCTCGACCCCAAAAGGCAATTATCTAAACACTCACCAATCGCTAAAATCATATCTATCCGCTCATGAATGAGGTAAGTTTTCATTTTCAACAATAATAATTCAGTGAATGTTTTGAATAACGTAAAACGCAATAACTGTCAATAAAAATTTTTTTCAACAAGTTGAATAAATGTCGTTTCAAAGCTACCTTGATTCAAAGAATGCAGTGAAATAAAAACTACTATTTGAAAAAGCCAGAACGAAATGAAAGATAATTGAATTTTATTTTGCCCAGACCAAAAAATACAAGGTTGTCTATTAGAATTAACAAAATTATTGTTGTACATCATGCCCTGAAGAAAATAACGCCAATGGCCACTGGTTGCCATAAACCAATCGTGACTTAGCTAAGAGCGCGCGAATGTTCCCTGCCGCTCTAGAGGCAGCGAGAATAATGCTACCGATTTCGATGGAACTTCAGCGAAATTTCTACTGCATTCGACTACGAATATAAACGCTAGCCAGGAGCGTATAGACATCGACACAGTCAATAGGAAGTTACAGTGCGGTACGCGAAGTGATTCAGTAAGGCGATAAACATATAAATAATAGTTGAAGTTTTAGTGTTTGTTCTATTCAAAGCGAAATAAAGTTAAGTTTGATTATTCAGTGTAGTCAATTATTGGTCAACCCACAGGGAAAAACTTTATTATCTCATTGTTTTCTGTCTATTTGTCGATATTCAGATATGTTTTTACTATGTATGAATATTATTAATAAAAAAATGTTTATCGACAAGATGTTACTACACTCTTCTGACAATAAACACATATCTACTCACATCACTGTGATAATGGTGAGCTTGTTGCTTATCACCCTCATTATCATATAACTCTCCAAGCTTCTGGAGAGCCCTTGCATCTGTAGGCACTAAACCAAGAAGTTGCTGATACGTATCTGCAGCTGCTTCGTTATCTCCAATCAGTTCCAACAGATTAGCCACCTGATATACAACGGCAGGCAATAACGCAAGAGAGCCAGAAAATCTCTGAAAGCAACCCAAAGCCTCCACATAATGTCCCTGCCTTTTCAAACATAGGCCTGCAATTATATTATGTCGTTGAATCACAAACTTATGAAAATTTAATATTTACCTACCCAGGTTGAATATTGCTTCAAAAAATGTCGGGTCACATTCCAATGCCTTTTGAAAACACAATATTGCTTCGTCAAGATTTCCCTTTGCCATTAAAGAAGCTCCATAATTCACAAAACCATCAGCACTTTTGGCATTTGCTTTCTCAACAACTTCACCATATTTCACAGCATTGTCATAATCTCCTTGCTGAAAAATTATTCAGTCCGTTTTTTAAGCTGATCCCACTATCGCTATCTCGGAAACGACTTTTGTCCAATTTAACTGACCTACAAGGTCGGTTAAATTGGACGAAAGTTTCCTTTTTTGGGGAATCAGAATATTCTCTTTTCATAAATATCAGTGGTTGTTTTTGAAATATTCACTAAAAACTAGAATCGTCGAATTTGGTTTTTTTGGTTCTACCGCCTTCATTTCGAATGATATAAAAAAAGGCAGAGGAACTTTCGATAACTGTTTCATATTTGTTATAATCTGATATAAACCAATTTGCAATGTAACCTTTCGTTTATTAGATTTCATCATCAGCTTTTTTTTTAAATATGGACATGTATTGAAATACACAGCTAAATTCTAGACAAACCATGGGACATGGCGGAGTGGCAATATATAAGAATAATGAATGTCAACTGTCTCTATATAAGTTAGATCTGAATATCTCTGTAGAAGGATTATTTGAGTGTTGTGCAGTATAATATGGAAAATATATTGGTGTGTTTGTAGTTTATAGACCTCCTGGTACTGATCTCAAACTATTTTTAGAATGTTTTGCAAATATGTTGGAAAAAGTTGCTTCTCATTATGAAACTATTGTTATTGTAGGTGATTTCAATATTAATTTTCTTGGAATATAGTAACGGTAGGGCACTCTTTGAGGATTTGCTGGGATGTTATGATACAGCAGTAACAATAAGGTCTCTAACTAGAGTGACTGCAATTTCCAGTACTTGTGTAGACAATATTTTCATAAGCTCTAATATTAATGACTGACAATCAGAAGTAAAAAATCTGAATCTGTCAGACCATTTCTCTCAACACTTGGCTTTTAATATTAAATATAACCTCAAATCTGTTCCTCAACAATACAAGTAATTGCGAAAATTCTCAGACAGAGGAAGATCAAACTGAATCTTCCTCTTGAAGATGATCACTTGGTGATCGAAACACGTGTCGAGGTGTTAAAATAACGGATTGGTTTTGGGAAAAAACTCCAGTAATATTCAATTAATTCACAATATTATTTAATGATTCTTCACTTGAGATTTTCAAAATTTCAGTTAATAAAACTATTTGACGATATTAGTAAAAAATAATATAATTACCAAGTAATATATAAAGCTCAAATTAACAGCTGCATTGATGGCAATATTAGAATCCCTTTCGAAAGCCTTCAGAGTAGCGATAGCTTCTGGAAGCTGTTTTTGTTTCAGGAACATCACAGCTTTGTTGATTTCCAAATCAGATGCCAATCTAGCATATTCAGAATTTTTTATTGTTGCTACACACCAGTCATAACCTACAAAAGAATCAGAAGTATTTCGTAACTCGAGTGCTTATAAAGGCCCAAGTGTAGTTTTCGAAACTCACCCTCACTAAAAGAGTCTTCAATAAAGGGTGCTATTAGTTTGGCTGCAGTCAGTAT